AAGGTAAAGGTAAACTCCACATAACAGAAGACATAATAGATCTTGCACTATAGGTCTGTCCAAATTTGCTTACCGTTAAAATGAGGCAACCAGGGGGAGAAAGTGGCCATATCAAATTATAAATGTAAATGCCTTCCAAGAGTATATATGGACAACCATCTGAAAGACTTATTGACCCACCTCTTTACCATATAGTTGGTTCAAAATATTAATATAAATGGTGTTACTGTGTTAGTCTTTGGACTACTTTTATATTTGTGAAGACATTTATTTGTAAAATCATTGGTGGTTTAAAAAACAGGGTTTTTCAACAATATTTGTAAATTTTATTTTGCTAGTATGGTATTGGTTTAGGGGTTCTTGGTAGTGGGATTATGCACAGTTAGATAAGGTAGGCAGCCTGATGTACACCCCGCATGTACCATCAGCTACTTCATTACTTCCCTAGAATTCCTTACCTTAAAGAGTTTACTTCTAAATTCTCTTATTGTGTTCAGTGGAATAGTAAAAGTGGGAGTAGAATATTGAACTACAAAAACAAAAAACTCATCTTTTCAGACAGATTTATAAAGACATCAAAAGTGACATTGCCCTTTTGCTTAGATTGCCTAGATTTATCCAGGGAAGGTGATAAGAGACTTCAATACCAGGTTAATAGAGTTTTTTTCCTTCATGGAAGTGTAAAAGTACATCCTACACCATTTTTCTCACCCACCCCTAACCCTGGTATCTAAAAGATTATTTTTTGTGGTTTCTAACACAAACCACTTGTTTATTCATGGCCCCACTCATTGATTCATCTGCAGAAGCAGAGTCAGTCTGCCAGATCATTGGGTGCTTTGAAGCAGTGACAGATGGGAAAAAGCAAAGAAAGCGGGAGCGGGGGGGTCTGAGATTGCTTTTCTACCTTCCCCCTTCTCACCTGTTTTCCCAGCCACATAGGTGTTTTTCAGACACATCACTTGATCCTTCATATCACAACAAAGGAGAAGCTCCCAAAGTTGCCCTAATTAACATATCTAATGATGAATACTCCATCAAGATATAACTTTGGGGGCACCTGGGTGGCTCAGTGGTTGAGCGTCTGCCTTTGGCTCAGGACCTGATCCTGGGGTCCTGGGATCGAGTCCTGAATCAGGCTCCCTGTGGGAAGCCTGCTTTTCCCTCTGCCTATATATGTTTCTGTCTCTCTCTGTCTCTCATGAATAAATAAATAAAATCTTAAAAAAAAAAAGACATAACTCTGTAGGGGCACCTGGGTGGCTCAGTCAGTTGAGTGTCCAACTGTTGGTCTCAGCTCAGGTCTTGATCTCAGGGTTCTGAGTTTAAGCCCTGCATTGGGCTTTGTACTGGGTGTGGAGCCTACTTTAAAAAAAAAAAAAACAACAACAAAGAAACTCTGTATTTTTACTCAAATGATAAATTTACTACAGTGAAAATGAAGCCTGATAGTTGGGCTAGAGAGTTGATTATAGGGAACTTTGGGGTGTGTGAGACTCTTACTTACATGAAATTGAAGAACACCATTATCCACATCCTGTCAGAATGACTCCTCTGATGAGCAAAAGACTAAGGAGTAAATCAGAGAGACTGACTCCTCTACCACATGGCAGAAGCAGCATGACCTTCCAACAAGCAGATGCACATACTGAAATTTCCACCAACAGAAGCCCCAAAATATTGCATAGGTCACTTCTTGGAAAGTCATTGAGACCCTCTTAGCAATTACTATAGCTAACAGTAACATTTTTGCTTTTTGCATCTGCATCTTAAGTTTGGGCTCTCAAAATATACAAAAGAGAAAAGAAAAATTGCTTATAACACTGAACCTGGGCAGCCTGGGTGGCTCAGTGGTTTAGCGCTGCCTTCAGCCCAGGGTCTGATTCTGGAGACCCGGGATCGAGTACCACCTCGGGCTCCCTGCATGGGGCTGATTCTCCTTCTGCCTGTGTCTCTGCCTCTTTCTCTGTCTCTCTCATGAATAAATAAAAATCTTAAAAAAACAAAAAACCACTGAACCTAACTAACATGCAGCATCAGAAAATTTAGGCTAGGGGTGCCTTGGTGGTTCACTCAGTTAAGCGTCTGCCTTTGGCTCAGGTCGTAATCCCTGGTGCCGGGATCAAGTCCTGCATCAGACTCCCTGCTTCTCCTGGAGCCTGCTTTTTCCCTCTGCTTCTCTCTCTCTCTCCCCACTGTCTCTCATGAATAAATAAAATATTTAAAAAATAAAGGAATAAAATTTATCCTAGTTTCCAGAAATCAATAAAACTGATTCATCTGACATATTATTGTGTTAGAAAATATTTTATCCTTGATGGGAGAAATGTTTTAAAACATTGATTTCATATTAAAGCCAAAAGATGGAGCCACCTAGGTGGCTCAGTGGTTGAGTGTCTGCCTTTAGCTCAGGTCATGATCCCAAGGTCCTGGGATCCAGTCCCACATCAGGTTTCCACAGGGAGCCTGCTTCTCTCTCTGCCTATGTCTCTACCTTTCTCTCTGTGTCTCTCATGAATAAATAAAATCTTTTTTAAAAAAAGACCCCCCCAAAAAAATCTGTGGAGCAGCATGAAGAATGAGGGTGAATTTTTAAGAGCTATATAAGATTTTAAAGACATGTTTACATTTGGAGAGCTTCGAGCTATTTCTTGTACTCTGCTGTAGAAGACTTTTGTGAGGAAAAGGTTTTTTTAAGGTTCATTCATTTATTTTAGTGCAGAGGGGCAGAAGGGCAGAGGAAGAAGGGAAAAGAAACTCAGACCCTGTGCCAAGCGTGGAGCCTGATGCAGGGCTCTATCTCAAGACCCTGAGACTATGACCTAAGCCAGAACCAAGAGTCAGCCACTCAACTGACTGCACCACTCAGCACCCTATGTGTAGAAAAGTTTTTGAGAAATATGGTTTAAATATGGAGTAAGATTGAGTTGATTGAAGACACTGTGATAAGAGGAAATAAAGGAATTAAAACATACTTGTTCCCTTTATGCCACTATCATTCAGTATCCCACCTCTTCCATGAAGCCTGCAGGCTCTCCTGGGCTCAGAGCAGGCTATGGCTTGCTCTGAATTACTTCTCTGCCTGTATGTATCCACAGCCTTGATATTCCTGGCTAGGCCACAATAGACACTTAATGACCACAGGTTGTGGTCGTGTTAATTAGAAACTTTGACTATAATAAGGCAAAAAGAATCACTTACTGCAAAACAGTGGTTTGACTCCAAAAGGGATTCAGTCCAGTAGGGCCCCACTTAGGCCAGCCCTACTTTGTGTGGACTGCCTAAACATCACTGCCATAAAGAATTGCCTCAGCTGAGTGTGTCCTTCCTTTTCCCCCACAGACATAACCAGTGCAGTGCAATCCAAGAGAAGAAAATCCAAGTAAACAAGCTGGATGGCGACTTGATCCTTGTAAATGTGTGTGAATTTTACAAAAAGCAATTTTGAGCTGTGACTTTTTAAAATCCACTTCTGTACAGTTAGTCATTTTAATAATGTGGCCCTTTTCCTAGTCCTTGCAACCTGTTTCGTAAAGTGCAATGGGGAAAGCAAAGTTGTTGAACCCTTTTGGTGTTGCAAGATGAAGTTCAAGGTTTCTAAAATGTTGCCATGTATTGAGAGGAGCTAATGCAATTATGTTATTAGTTTTCATATTTCCTAAGCAGCCTTAGTACAGGGTGAGCATTTTTAGATCTTCTAATGATGTATTGTGCTGTGGAAGTTATGTGTGTGAATAGCAGTAGTGGGAGCAAAAAAATCTTTTCCTTTGGAAATGTTGTAAATAATTTTATTATATAGTGTTTTGGATGTATTTGTTGTAGAAATGGACCAGTGAATAAAGAGAATCTAAGGGTTTGTACAATGTGAAATACTGAATGTGTTAAATAAATGTCATTGTCCTAGAACATAAGTGTATGTTATTGGTAAGGGATTACTGGGTGAGCACGCTCTTTCTTTGGACCATAAATGAATAGTAACAGCCTTCTTTGTAAAGTAGAATCCAACCTTGTCCTTACTATACCTGCTTTGAAGAAACTAGCCCTTTCAGCACTGTACCAGGCACTTTGATAAATGTTGGTCAAATTTGTTTTGGTTGCAAATAACAGAATCAACTTAGGATCAAAGACCACCCAGGATTTTTTAGGGACAGGAAGCCACCCATAACCCGGATACACTTTTTCTCCACCTCGTAGTGTTTCTCCAAGCACAGAATGTTAACAACTATTAACATTCTCCTCCATTCAAGAGATAAGCCCAGACTGATCAGCAGGATTCTTTGTAACAGTATCAAGAATCCAGCCCATTTTAGATCAGCTTTCCACCTTCAGTCCAGTTCCGTGGTTAGATCAGGGCAGCTCCCACATCAAAGTGGTCATTTTGTGTTATATACTTTATATACTTCAAAGATGCCCACTACTTTCTACCCTTTGGGTGCCCTATTTCTCATCTCTTTCAGGCTTAGGGCTGATTTCTCATCAACATGCCCAGGTTTTTCCCTTTCCTGTCTCAATTCCTACCCAAAAAGTATAGTCTCCAAACCTGCTGCTTCTACCCCCACCCTACTCCCAACCCTCAGGAGAGACTGATGCTTGGGGTTGGGCTCTGTCCTTGTGTTGGTCTGGGCCTCAGCCTTCTGCTGCATCTTCTGGAACTAGACATGGAGTCCATCCCTGCCCCTGCAGTGTCTCCTTGCCCCTGCCAGAACCTAATGTCTGAGACCAAAAGGATGTCAGTGATTCTGTCATGCTCTCATTCTCATCCGTGTTTCAACTGTCTATATATGCCTTGGCTTATAAGGATCCTCCAAAAGTAGTTATTTATGAGTCAGACCCCACAATTGTCTGGCTCCATTCCCAACAAGCTCATCTTCCCTCTTCCTCTGGTGTATATATGACACACAACCAGAACTAAAGCCAGCCTAATAATAATCCCTGTGCTTGTACTGTGCTTGAGATCGCAGAGTGCTTCTACTTTAGCTCTACTCAGACAGAAAGCATAATGTGCTTTAAATAGATTTTTATTTGTTTTTCTTTATATTAATTTTTTTTCTCCCATAGAGGAATAACATTAAAATCTAACAATCAGAATCCTGTTATACACATACACAGGCATGCCACGTGACTGGATCGAGGTGGTTGTGTCCTTGAGTCTGTCAACATGTCACAACATGGTCAACCACAGTCTTCTCATTTCAGCCAGTCTAACACAAAACAACTAAGAGGGATACGCTCAACTTGTTGGTTTCATGTGGAACTAGTGGCAGGGGAAGAGGGAGGATTCAAGGGGCTATGGTGTGTCTGCATTCAGTCCCCTCACATAAAGCCACATGGATCTGAGGAGGCATCCAAGAGCTCTAGTGGGGTCCTTGTTGCACCTAAGACATTACAAGTCAGAACAAATTGATCAGGGCTCCAGGTGGGGGCTGGGAAGCAGGCATACCCCAAAAGAGCAGCAAACTGCATTCATACACACACGGTTCCCTCCTGGGGCCAAACTGGCAAAAGCTGGAAGGTGACAACTAGCTTGAAGGGAGCACTCAGGCATATTGGGGAATAACTGGACGTCGCCCTTTGATGTCTTAGGTCTCTAGAAACAGGGGTCCCTCTGACATACTCAGTTTTGGCAAAGTGCTGGTAGTATTGACATTAATTAATACAAACTTCTCCAGGGTCTCTGAAAACATCAGTCAAGACAGACTCTCACCCCCTCCTGTCTAAGGTTGCATAGGACTTTGTGAATTCTAGTTCCCTCACATATTCAAGTTCTGTGGTTTAAAAAAAATCCTGAAGCATGCTCAAGGTGAAAGGCACATACACAGTCAATACAGTATGACGAGGTCTGATGCTTCAGGAGTCAGACTAGCAGGAGACTGAGTAGTGTTGGTTCTTAGAAATCTATACACAATTAAAATATTGCCACTCAAATGCTACAGAGTCTATAGGAAAGTACAAAAACATGTGAGCCTTACCACCAGCCAGGTGATGGGATTGCAGGGTTCTAGAACTACAGGAGCCTCCAGAAATATGTGTGAGGGAGGGGCCTTTTGAAATTTGAACCAAATGCCCTATAACCCACTCTTCCCAACCCCTCCCCCTCAAAGGCTCAGGGGAACTGCCCAGGCTGAGCCAGTGTCCCAGCTGGCAGCAAAGGAGTAGGCAGGAAGATAATGAGTTTCAGCTCTCAGAAGTGTTGAAGACCCTAAGCTGGCTGTGAAGTGACTGACCACTGGGTAGCTGGAAGAATAAACACAACTAGGTTGTAACTGCAGGAGAACCTTGGTGAGAAGAGCAAGGTTGTCAACCACTGGGGCCCTAATGGGACTTTGATCTGTCTTGACTGTAGATTTGGTTTACTCCCTTGGATAGGAAGCCCCAAGAGGAACTTCCTCTGCCTCCATCCCAGCAACCATGGGGCTACCCCCTCCCTTATCCATATACTCAATTTGAGGTTTGGGGCTAGAGGATCAGGGAGGGTAGATGCCTTTACCCTCATGGGATTGCAGTTTTCTAACCAAGCCTCAGCTTGGCTTTGAGGCCAAGAAACCTGGAATTGGAGTGAGGGGGAAGACCTATGTTAGTATGTAACAGGACATCTTAAAAGTTTCAAGGAAGAAAGAGCACACACTAAAAAAGGACAGAGGAAAAGGGAAGCAACTCGGGGTATCCCAAGAAGCTGTTGCTGGTGTCTGAGCCCAAAATTCACTCCCACCACAAGAAGGGCAACACTGTCTGCCTGTGTCCCCTCTTGTCTCACCCAGGGACTCAGGTTCTTTCCTCCAGTTACTTACTGGAGGAGAGGACAAGGGGAACCATAGGGCACCCATTTCTCCCCATCAGACTAGAAAGGAAGAGCCCTGGGGGAGGAAATGAGAGGCCCCCTGGAGGCCCTGAACCTGGAATCAAACTATTTGGGGTTTGGGCCAGTGGAGCTCCTGGCTTCCTACCCAGGAGTGTTTATTAGCCATCCTGGGCAGAGTGTGAAATGAAATACACGGCCAGAGGCAATATGAAGGCTGAGCTGTCAGTCTTGGGATGGCTTCACCCCACAGCTTGTCCTCCCCAGTGTCATTCCCTTGTATTCTTACTCTGGGGGATGCACTTTCCCTGCCTAGACAGAAGCCCTCTGGCCTGCATCTCTCCTAAACTAGTTCTAGCACCTTAGGCATGTGAACAGATGGCCAGGATGGCAGGGCCTTGCCCAGCCAGCCTCTACTCCTGGGGTGACATGTTGCGGGTAGGGCAACAAAATACTAAGCCCTTCAGACTTGGGGGCATGCAGAGGGGTGGATTTCTGGAAAAGATTTGGGAAGTGGGATGATCAGAAAGGGAGGTGGGGGCAGACTTCAGGCTCAAGCCCAAGAGGAGGGCTTAGCCTCTCAGAGCAAGCACAGTGCCAGTTCCCATGGTGCCCTGCTCCCTACAGCTTCTTAATCTGTGTGTCTTGTCTACATTTCCAGTAGGCTGCCTCTTCCTTCGATTCCCTCCACCTTCTCCCTCTAACACATCTCACAGCCCTGTTCCACATACTTTACCTTTCCGGGCCTAAACAACTCCACGGGGAGAGGGAAGGGGGAGACTCAAGGCAGAACCCTTTGGTCTCGGTGCCCATTCCCCCAACCACCTGGGAGGGAATTACTGGGAATGAATAAGGGAGGAGTGAGCATAGTGCCAAAGGTGAGATGGGTGAGGCTTGTAAAGTGGGAGTGGAAGGCGGGGAGTGAGCTAGATGTGGGAGGAGAAAAGAGCGGGAGGAGGAGCGGGCCAGAGGGCAAGGGTGTAGGGGAATGTCAGGGCAGAGACGGGGACAGGAGCCAGAGAAGGAATGAAGAATGGAGTGTCCAGGGCGAAGGAAATGGAGGAAATGTGGAAATGGGGCCGGAGGGGGGTTGTTCTGAGGCGGATTAGAGGATCAGACGTGGGAAAATCGAGGGTGGGGGAGGCTGGCACCCCACCTCGCTTGAGGGAGGTTGTAGTGTCCAACCCAGGTGAGCTGCGGGCGCTCCTCGAGCAACACACTGGCTGCGGCAGAGGGGCCCCACAGGGGTCGGGAGTCGGTGAGGGGTCTGTGGTTCGGCGAGGATCCTCAGTAGTTGAACTGGCGCTGGCACGGCTGGTAGACGAAGCTGCCCTGGTGCCTAGGCCGGCGCGAACGGCTCTCGCGGGCGCGGTTCTGCCGCTGCACCACCTTGGCGCTCAGCGCGTGGCGCTCGGCCCGCTGCCGGGCCCGCTGCAGCCGCCGCGCCTGGCCTGCCTTCTCCAGCAGCGCGGCCCGCGCCGGCAGGGGGGCGGCGGCGTGGCGCAGGGCCCGGGGCTCGCGGCGGGCGGGCGCCAACTCCCTGCGGGGACACAGCAGGGCGGGGTCAGGGCCCGACCCGGCGCAGCGCGGTCTCTCCTGTCAGCGGGGTGCCCAGTGCCCCTCTTCCGAGCCAGCCTGGAGACGCCGCCTCAGCGCCGACCCCGGGGAAGGCGGGGCTCCCGCTGTTTGGGCGCTTACCTGAGGAGCCAGCCTCAGGAAGCCCCCAGCCCTTCGGCGCAGCGGCCCCAGCCCCTCCACCAGCCCCGCCCCAAGCCTCGGGGCCCCGCCTCCCCGGGCCCCGCCCCGGGCCCCGCCCCGGGCCCCCCCTCCCTGCTAGAGCTCCGCCCCCTCGCCCGCAGCCCCGCTCCTAGCCTCGGCCCCGCCTCCGGCCACGAGGCCACGCCCCTCAGGGCCCCGCCCCTGCGGCGCCGGGCGGGCTCGCTCCCGGGCGAGCTCGCTCCCCAGGCTCCGGTCCCGGACCTCCCCAACACGCCTCTCCGGGTCTCCAGGCCACGTCCCCGGCCCGCTCACCCTTCGCTAAGGTCGCCGTCAGGCAGGGCAGCGTCGGGGTGCGGGGAAGGGGGCCCAGGCTCCAGCACTATGGTGCTGCCGGTGACGTAAACGGACATGCTGGGGTGCTCGATGAGGAGATCCTCCAGGGGGCTGCTCTGGAGGCGGGCGGGCCCGATTCCGGGCCCCTCTGCAGTAAAACAGGCGGGAGGGGTAACAAACCAGCTCTCGTCCATCAAGGAGGGCGCGGGCGGGGGCCGGCCTGCGGGGGCGGGGGCGGCCTCGGGGCTGGGTGGGGCCGCGTAGCTGTCTACGGGGCGCGGGAGGAGGAGCCATGCAGAGCGGGGGCGCAGCGGGGAGGGACACACACACACCGGACACAGTGGGGCGGGGAGAGAAAGGGCATCGTTAGTCAGACCCGCAGTCCCGCCCGCCGCGCCCACGGGGCACCCACGGGCCGGGAGTCTCGACCGGCTGCCCTCGGACACGTGAGGTGTGGGCCCCAACGCTGCGCTGCCAGGAGGCGGCCTGGGCTTTGCAGGGGACGGGGCCCTGTTACCCGCCTTCGGCGTCGCTACCTTAGTAGGCCGGGGACTCCCCTTCCCCTCCGCTGCTCGTCCGTCTGCCCTTTCACCGGCCCGGGAATCAGAGCCCTGGCCCCGACCCAGGCCTCACCCGGCAGGTCGATGATGAGCCAGCCGTCCACTTCATCCTCCTGGGACACGAAGGCTCGGGGGCATTCGGGGTCCTCGGGGGGCGGGGGAGCACTGAAGAAGAGGCTGGTGAGGCGCTGGAACATGGCGGGGAAGTGAGGCGGCCTCAGGGGGGCGCCCTACGGCAGTGTAGAAACCTGGGAGGTGCAGAGAGGGAGTCAGAGCCGCCAGGCTTTAGTCTAAGACCACCTCGACTCCTGGCTGGGGACCCACCCCCAGCCCCCAGAGCGTCGTATGAGTACAGCGGGGGAGTGTGCACGTGCTGGTAAGTCCGTCTGCTTTCAGGTTTTTCTATTTTCTGTGTGACCTTAGAAGTTACTTAACTTCTCTGTGCTTTAGTTTTCCCTTCTGTCCAATGCCAATGATAAAACACCTCCTTCTGGGCCCTTATAAGAGTTACATGAGCTAACCATAGTATCCTTCTCTGGGCTCTAATAAGAATTAAATGAGCCAAACACAAAGTGCTTAGAGCCATATTAGGCCACAGAGTGAGCATTCAATAAACTAATCAACTAGTTATCATTATTATTATTGCATGCTCTTAGGGATATGGGAGGGGTGATACATATGACCAAATTCTATCAGAAAAGGTCTCCAAGCTGGACCTTGGAGTTCTCCAAGCAAGGAAGAAACAGTCCAGTATTGATTACTTATGATCATCATCATAATATAGCTAACATTCATGTGCTAGGTACTGTACTAAGCACTTTACATCACATTAACAGGTACTTCTCCTCACAACTCTAGGAAAAGGGTCTAATTATTATCCTTCTACAGATAAAGAAACTGAGGCTCAGAGAGGTAAGGTAACTTGTACAAAGTCTCCAGCTAATAAGACACAGAGGTTGGATTCAAACCCATCCAGTCAAATTCCAGAGGCAGCACCATAATTACATACTCCATTGCCTTTGCTGGATTAGACATTAGATTAGGCATTTTTAACTTGATGGCCAAGGCATTTTTCTGGGAAGAAGTTTTCATCATGATTTCTAACATCACTCCTTGACCCCAAAGATTAAGAACTACTGGAGCCTCTGAGGCTTGAATAGTGTTGGCTGGCAGAAATCCCACAGAACCACTACCATGTGATTGCACAGCTCTCATTTGTGCCTGTCAGACAAGGTTCTAAGATCCTACTCCCCTGGGTCCTCCCCCCTCTGACCCTCTATACCTAAACTCCTGCTCAAGGGCAGCATTCATGGCTAGGAGGAAGATCAGGTTCCTGGCCCCAGAGAGGCAGCAGGTCAGTGGGAGGTGATGATGAAGGGAGGGCCTGTCAGCCCCCAGCAGCCCTTAAGGATGAGCACTGAGGGTTGAACCAGGACCCAACCCCTCAATCAGCCCCTCCCTGGATGAAAATGAGGGAGGAGACTCCTTGCTCCAGGAATGGAGACACCAAGGAGGTAGCTATAGATCTGCCCTTCTCCCCACTTAAGCCTACCTTAGGACTAGGCCTGGCTAAGAGTCCCCTGGATGTCCCAAAGCTTGAGCCTCCACATCTGTCCCCTGAAGATGGTTGACCATTTTGCTACTGAGACACTTGTCACTTTCCTGTAGGGATGTTTCCACACTTCCTGTAAAACTCCCTGGGGGCATGTCCACTTTTCCATTCTGTGAAGGCATTCTACACTTACTGCTAACCCACCTGAAGTATTTCTATGCTTGTTGCTACCTCGACCATTCCCTGGGTATGTTTTCACACTTGCCCCCAGAATCATCCAACCTCTATAAACTGAGAGTATTTCCACATTTGCAGACCCATGGTGGCCAGGCTCCAGAAGGAAGTGTTCCTAGGTTCTGGCTTTTCCGGTAGGAGATCTACAGAGATTATAAAAGCCAAGGCGCCCCCAACTAGTGTCTGCCCAGCAGAAGTCACATATCTCAACCCATCTCTTAACCACAGAGAGTTAGTGACTCAGTTACCAAAAATCCAGAAAGTTTGGCCCCTCCTGAAGGAAGGGAAGATTGGAGCCTTGATGAGTCACACCTTCCTTGCAAAGACCGACTAGTTCAGTAAGAAGATGAAAGGGAAGTTCAGAGCTGGTGCAGGCTCATCATATTCACCTGGCCCATTTTACAACCTGAGAATCATAGGAAATAAAGTCTATCCAAAGACACACAGCTAGATGGTGGCCAGGTACGTCTAGCCCCAGGTCACTAAATTCCATCCAGAGTATATATACAATCAGGAAAGCCTCAGCAAACAAGACCCAAAAAGATAATGATGCAGAGGAAATAGGGAAGTCAGAGAGGAGTCAGAACTTATCAAGTCATTCCTCACCTCAGAACCACTCTGTCCAGCTGTAAAAGAATTTGGAGTTCCTGACATCAAGATTCATCATGCAGTTACAACAACGCCCACTGTATAGCAGAACCTGCTCTGGGTCTCCTCAAATTATACACAGATTAAGGTAAAGAAGGCTCAATGAGGGGAAGCTCCCTGCCTGAAGTCACAGCAATTAAGTGGCAGACCCAAGAGTGACAGCAGCACCAGCCAGCCAGTGCCCGCCCCCTCTGATGACCACTTGGGGAGCCTCCCGGATTTTCTTTCCCATCTTTGCCAGCTTCCTGGTTCTCACATTCCCAGCCCTGCTCCAGGGAGAACCATTCCCTTTAATAACTACAGCAGCTGTGCCCAGAATAGCACTTGAGTTCCACCATGTCTACCCCACCCCATCCTTTAGCAAAGCCCAGGCTGGGATGGGGCTCCTGGCCCAGTCTTTGGGCCCATCCACTTGGAAAGCCAGCTCTCCTTCTCCTACTCCTTTGTCCTGCCCCTCTCTGTAATCACCAGTTCTATGTCAGGTCATGTCCTTCTTAGCTGACAATACTGGGAGTTGGGGAGGTAATAAAAGGCCAAACAGAGGGAATTCTCACACTCCACCCACCCCAACATCAGTCCTGGAGACACCCTGATGCAGCTAATGACTCACCCTTCTGTGGTCAAAACAGCTGGGAGGCAGCGATTTTATTGGGCTCTGGGACTCCAGGGTACACAGTGAGGGTCAGGGCCACAAAAGGGGATCAGTCTCCAGAGACCTCCAGGAAAATGATCCAGGAATAAAGGGACCTAACAGCCCCATCGAATTTGGATGGTACTGAGCCTAAGCTAGAGTCCCCAGTGTTAGGAGGATGTGTAACTCAGTACTTGTTTTGAGTTCCTACTAGGCATGTGCTATGGCTAATGCATCTGTCATTCACTAAGTAGGCTTGCCTCTAAGTGTCTTCACGACCTCAAGTAAGCAACTTCCCCTCTCTGGGCCTCAGTTTTCCTTCCGTGAAATGGAGTCTGAGACCCCTTGTTTGGGGGGCAGGGAGTGACATCAGCTAAGGCACAGCACACAACAGCGATTAGGAAGATGTTGTGGTAGTCCCCGGGGATGCAGAGCTTGGAGCTGGAGAGACGATATTCCACCATCTGGCGCCGCCCCCGACGACCTAGAACTGGAGCTCTGGGCTGCCCCTGAACTCTGAGGACCCTCCCCCGCCCAACCTAGACCCAGCAGCGCCGCCCGAACCCAAGGAGAAAGTAGGGGATCAGAGGCCTGACCCCAACACCTGGGTTAGCCTAGGAAATTGCCGAGGCCCCTCCAGTCCTGCTGCCTTTCAGCGTCCCTCACCCGTGGGCCCAGCCCCGACCCAGCGCCTACTGGGTCAAGGGAGGACAGGCGACCCGAGCCGGGGGGCGGTGCCGGCCTTGGTGACGCCTCAATGTCATATGCAAATAGAGAGACGTCATGGTGTACCGGCGTGCGGCAGCCAATCGGGAGATGGGAGTGCAGCCCGGCGGCCGCCGGCGGAAACAAAGACCCGGGAGCCGGGAGACCGCGGGGCGTGTCTCGGGACGCGGGACCCCCTGGGCCGAGGCCGGCCGGGACTCACCTGGGGGAGGGGGCGGCGCGGCGGGCGGAGGGGCTCTGAGGTAGTTGTGCGGCGGGGCGTCCTGGCGTCGGCGCTGATCACAGGCAGGGCTGCATCGCGGGGGCTGGACGGGGAGGCGGCGGGGCTCCGGCTCGGAAGCTCGCAGTTGCTGCGCTCGCCCGCGGGGCTTTGAGACTGTGCGGCCGCTGCAGAGCTCACCGCACAAATTAGAACGTTCAAACAGCTGATTGTGACGTCACAAAGGGGCCCGCCCGCCTCGCGTCACCGGCCGGCCGAGCAGTGGCCAATCCCAGGCTGCGGACACCCCCGCTCCCTCCCCCTCCACGATTCGCTGGCTAGTGGCTCCTGCCCCGGAGCCCGACTCAAAGCCTCGGGGGGGCCTCCCGGGGAGGCCACTACTGGGACCTTCGACTCCTTGCTGCAGGACTACCCACAGACCTCTTCATGAGGAGGATCCCCATCTTCCGGCATTCTCTCCAGCCATCCCAGCGCCCTCCCACTGTCCCCCGTATCCTTTCGGTGGCATCCTCCTCTATCCTTGTCCCCCATATGTACCCTTTTGTCAGCTCCACCATCACGTCCGTGCACCTCCATTCTCCCCACCAACCTTCTCCCTGCTCTCCCTCCTCTTCTGTCTCATCTCCTCACCCTACACGTTATCTGCTTTTCTACTCTATTTTTCCTCAGCTGGGCAGGCTTGAGAGGTGGGGACGTCCCCCTTCCCTGGTTCCGGGGGAGCACCCAGGGGTGCAGAGGAATTGGCTAGGCTGACGGGAGATTTTGCAGAGTGGGACTCGGAGAGACATTGCCCTGGATTGAATAGTTCATCTAGAGACGGCTCTGTACCGGAGCGTTTACACTTTATTTAACCACGACTGGACAGAAAAGTGACAGGACAAGGAAATTTAGGCTCACAAATCTCACTGTCAGTATGTGGATTTACTTTCTTTAAAAAATTTTTATTTATTCATGAGAGACACACAGAGAGGCAGAGACACAGTCGAGGGAGAAGCAGGCTCCATGCAGGGAGCCCAATGTGGGACTCGATCCTGGGACTCCAGGATCACACCCTAGGCTAAAGGCGGTGCTAAACTGCTGAGCCACCCGGGCTGCCCTTTATTATCAATAATTCATTCAACAAACATTGAGTATGTGCTATTGCTTCCACCAGACCACTAGCTGACATTAAATATTGAGTGCCAGGCACTGTGCTATAGCACTTTATATGTTTTGATCTTCACAACAACCCCAGAAGTGAGTATTATCCCCGTTTTGCAGTTGAGGACACAGACTCAGAGAGCCTAACTGACTTCCTACAGGTTGCAAAGCTATAATAAATACCAGAATCAGGATCTGAATCCATAGTTCTGGCCCCAACCCTCTTCACTCTCTGCATACATCAGATTGTCTAAACCCCAGAGTGCTTCAGCCTCCTCAGGGAAATCTGGGCCCAGTCCTGACTGCCCCAAACTTGCCTGTGGCTTCAAACAGGTCGTTACTTCTGTGGGCCTCAATTTCCTTTTCCATTAAATTTAACATATCTGAGCTTCTAGAGAGTCTTTGCAAAACTCAACCCTCAGGCTTCTGCCAATCCCAGATTCTAGACCTCCAACTTTCCCAATGCCCTGGGAAATTCTTGAAGAGAGACCACAAATGTGCATCCTCTGAATCTCCAGGGCCAGAGGTTCTACGTTCTCTCTCAGTAGAGTAAGACTGGCGGGGGTGGGTCTGAGAGCTGCCCATCAGGCCCAAAAGGAGGCAGGGAGTAAGCTAGGCGGGAGCTTCATGTTCTGGTGATAAAATCCTGTCCCAGCCTAGTCTGAAACTCCACAGGGACTCCTAGAAGGAGCCAGGAAATAATACCCAGAGGTTTCTGAGGGGGGAGGAGAGAGAGCAGAGTTTTGACCTTTGAAGTGATGTCCCCAAAGTGTCATTCTGTGCAACCCTAAGCCTCTGCTCTTTACAACCATTTCCTGCTAACCTTATATCCTCTCTTGACCTCCTTACTGACTTAAACAAAATAAGCCCTAACACGCCTCTCCCATCACACCTTTTCCCTGTTCTAAAAACTGCTGTGGTTCCCAAAGTATCACACTCAACACAGCATTTGTGAACTTTCCTAAACCAGCTCCAGCTCTCTCCAGCTTCCTCCCCACTTCTACCAGCAGCTTGTGCTAATGTCAAATTCCTGTTTCTTCAACACTCTCCCAAAGCCCCCAGAGCCCAGAATGCCCTCTTCAGAATTTATATATTTTCTGTCTTCGGGACTCTACTCCCCCTTTCTTCCTCTTGACAGCCTTCTCCACCCATATGTCCAGAGCTACCTTGATAGACACTGATTTATTTGTTCAATAAATAAGCAGTGGTGATGACTGTGTGTGTGTGTGTGTGTGTAGTGTATCTTCCCAAATAGATGATTGGCATCCAAAGGGCGTACGTAATCTCTGTCCATATACTATCCCCACCCAGCCTATGCTGGGACTGACAGAGTAGACTCTAAACAAAAGCTTAGCAATTACAGCTCAAGACAGTTGGCTGGTAGGGATCCCTGGGTGGCGCAGCGGTTTAGCGCCTGCCTTTGGCCCAGGGCGCGATCCTGGAGACCTGGGATCGAATCCCACGTCGGGCTCCTGGTGCATGGAGCCTGCTTCTCCCTCTGCCTATGTCTCTGCCTCTGTGTGTGTGTGTGTGTGTGTGTGTGTGTGTGTGTGTGTGACTATCATAAATAAATAAAAATTAGGAAAAAAAAGACAGTTGGCTGGTACAGGAGTCTTCACCTGGACCCTCTACCCTGGTATAAGAAGCATTCTGTTGGGACACCTGGGTGGCTCAGTGGTTGAGCATCTGCCTTCAGCTCAGGTCGTGATCCCGAGGACTCTGGGATTGAGTCCTGCATCGGGCCCCTTAAGGGGAGCCTGCTTCTCCCTCTGCCTGTGTCTCTGCTTCTCTCTGTGTCTCTCATGAACAAATAAATCAAAACTTAAAAAAAAAAAAAGAAGCATTCTATTGGGCACAGGATTTTGGTCCTCCAAGTCCAGAGAAGGGGCTCCTAGCTTGTGCTCTGATAATCCTAAATGACCTGGATTCTGCTCCTAACCTTAGCTGAACCACATGTATAGGCTGTTAGGGCAGATCCCAGTCTTCCATTTCTCTGTGGAGTCAGAAGGACCTATGGAAGTAGGGGGTTTCAGCCCAGTGGAGTCCTCTCCTGGAACCCCTGGACACATCACTCTCCACTGCAGATTTACTATCAGAGCTGAAGGACACCTCAGATCTTAATTCATCCAAACTCCTTATCTTATAGTGGAGAAACTGAGGCATACTGAGGCATAAAGAAGTCAAGGCTGAGCAGCAGAGACATCTACTGATCCTGGTTGGCAGGCAGTGGGGAGCTTAGTATGCTGGGATCCTGGTCTAGGCCTGAGGGCTGTAAAAAGAGGCAGTGGGCACCATGCTAGGGGTAATCCTGGAGTCTCATTTCTAATTAGATAGGAAGTACCATTGCTGGATAGACATGGAATCTACACATACACATGAAGGCATCCATGTACAAACATACACACATGTGCACATGGGCTCACACCCATGGAGTTAACAGATGCCCAAACCCTTCCAATTCCTGCTCAGATATAAGCACCTGCCCAATTTTATGGGCTCCAGGATTGGAGGTCAAGAGGCCACTCTTCTATTCCTGTCTGGGCCTGGGTTTGCCCTCACCAAGCCCTGGGGGCTCCCCAATGGCTTGGTGCCCCCTAGTTCAAAGGGCAGAGATGTGTCAGCCTGGGTGTGTCCTTCACGAGACCTTGCGTGTACTTGAAGGTGTGAGTCTGCTGGAGAACCACCTCACCTTTAGTCTCTCCCCGCCTTTCCCCTCTCAGGTTGAGGGCAAGGCTGAGGCAAAGACCAGTGGGTAGCTTGGAATCTGAGTCAAAACCCGGAGCCCTGATCACTCTAGAAACAGAGCTTTCCCTTGCCCTTCATGAGCCCCAGAACTACAGTTAAATGAAAATATTAATTATGATACTATTGGGATTTCTGTGTGCCAGGTACTATTCTAAGTCCTTACCTGTGTTTTAATTAACTTAACCCTCACAACAACCTACTCATGTAGATAATATTATTCTTTCCATTTTACTGGTGAAGAAACTGAGATAAATGGGGAAAAATTTAATTGGTAAAGCCGGTTAGGGCAGACATAATTCCCCAATTCTCCCCACAACAAATTGACCTATACCTTAATCATATCCCCAGAATTTTTATTCAAAAAGGGTTGTTGTTTAAAAAAAAGGGGGGGGGTTGTTGTTCAACTCAGAGGTGGTTAAACTGAGGGTGGTGTGTGTGTGTGTGTGTGTGTGTGTGTGTGTGTGTGTGGTGTGTGTAAGACAGAGAGACAGAGAGAGAGAGAGAGAATACCATGAAAAAGACCTTGGCCAGATTGTCAGTAAATCCGTTTCAGTTCTGGTCCTTTCCTGGGCTCACTGCCTGGTGCCCTGGCCAAGTCAGTTTCCCCATCTGCAAAGTGGCTGGCCCTGCACTTCCTAAATATTACCTCCAGTTCCAACCTTCAGGCAGCCAGTTGTGTTTGTTTGTCCTCCCTGGAGGAGGGGATAGTCAGGACAGAATCCATTTCAGGAAGAGGAGTCAGGTGACAGGAAGTGAAATATCCAGCTTAGTTTTTGTCTACTTAACCAAGGTGTGAGGATGGGGTGGTGACTTTGGGGTTCAAGTGTGGACAAGTACCCAAGTGAGCTGCTCTGGTGAAAATGCCCTGCATGAATTCCCACATTTAGAACTTTTGAAGGGAAATGGTTGCATCCCTCCAGCTTTGAGGCTGGGAAGGAGAAAGGAGACAGTGGGGTTCTCTCCTGCTGAGGCAGCCACTCTTCTAGGAGCAGATGGGCTCCCAGCAGCTCAGGCCACTGCCCTTTCCTGCTCACAATTCCTCCTTGGCTCCCTCCCATGTCTAGGCTGAGGCATGCTCTCACAGTACCTGGTACACAGTAAACATTCAGTAAGTACTGACTGAACGGGTGAGTGCAGCTGCCCTCACCCACTCATTTAGCCTTCTCTGTCAACACACACACACTCTTAACACCCTCTGTAAATGACCACACTCCAAACCACCACCAGCTTTCTTGCTTGCAGGATCTGCTCTTGCAGTTTCCTTGGCCTAGGGAGCCCTCCCCCACCCCTACCTAATCTTC